GTGCACCTGAAGGCTCAACACCATGCAGAAGCTGCCAAGGCTTGGGGCTTCCATCCTCTGAGGCCACAGCCCAAGCTGTACATTGGCCCCATTCAGGCACGACTAGAGCAGCTGGGACACAGGGCACCAGGTCCTTAGGCTACCCACAAGCATGGGGACTCTCTGGCCCATGAAATCACATTTTCCTTTGGGGCCTGTGAGCCTGTGATAGGAGGGGCTGCTGTGAAATTTTCTGGCATGACCTGGAGAAACTTTCCCCATGGTCTTGGGGATTAACATTAGGCTCCTTGCTGCTTATGCAAATTTCTGCCACCAGCATGAATTTCTGCCCAGAAAACGGGTTTTTCCTTTTTTTCTTTTTTATCACATAGTCAGGCTGCAGATTTCCTTTTATGTTCTGCTTAGCTTATGAAACTAAATTCATTTAACAGCACCCAAGTCACATCTTGAGTGCTTTGCTGCTGAGAAATTTCTTCTGCCAGACACTCTATGTCATCTCTCTCAAGTTCAAAGTCCCACAAATCTGTAGGGCAGCAGCAAAATGCACCACTCTTTTTGCTCAAGAGTCACCTTTGCTCCAGATCCCAACAAGTTCCTCTTCTCCTTCTAAGCCCATCTCAGCCTGAATTTTATTATCCATATCACTATCAGCATTTTGGGCAAAACAATTCAACAAGTCTCTAGGAAGTTCCAAACTTTCCCACATTTTCCTGTCTCCTTCTGAGCCCTTCAAATTGTTCCAACCACTGCCTGTTACCCGGTTCTAAAGTCACTTCCACATTTTCAGGTATCTTTTCAGCAATGCTCCACTCTACTGGTACCAATTTACTGTATTAGTCCGTTTTCATGCTGCTGATAAAGACATATCCAAGACTGGGAAGAAAAGGAGATTTAATTGGACTTACAGTTCCACATGGCTGGGGAGGCCTCAGAATCGTGGCAGGAGGCAAAAGGTACTTCTTAACATGGCAGCAGCACGAGAAATGAGGAAGAAGCAAAAGTGGAAACCCCTGATAAATCCTTTGGATCTCTTGAGCCTTATTCACTATCATGAGAATAGCACAGAAAAGACTGGCCCCCATGATTCAATTACCTCCCACTAGCTCCTTCCCACAACACGTGGGAATTCTAGGAGACACAATTCAAGTTGAGATTTCAGTGGGGACACAGCCAAACCATGTCAAGCAACATGAAGTTAAAACCAGGTACTATGGGTGTTCACTAGATTTCTGGTTGTCATGAAGGTGATTTTTTTCTGTGTATGTAGTTGGTAAATTGGTGTACTTGCATGGGGGCCAGTGGGACAATCGATGAAGCCTTCTATTCTGCCATCTTTCTCCTCCTGTAGATCTGTAGTATATTTTGAAATATATCTTTGTAGTATATTTTGAAGTCAGGTAGTGTGATGCTTCCTGGTGTATTCTTATATGGGCCAGTTTTTAGGGCCTAAAGCAATTATTATAACATCAAAGATCATTGATCAGAAATCACCATAACAGGTATAATGATGATGGAAAAGTTTGAAATATTGTGATAACTACCAAAATCTGACACAAGGACATGAAGTGAGTACATGCTGTTGGAAAAATGACACCAATGTGCTCAACAGACAGTTGCCGGAAACCTTCAATTTATTAAAAAACACACACAAAATCTGTAAACAGAATAAAGTGCATCACAATAAAACGAGGTCGACCTGTACCTGCCAGTACTCAAGTAACTAGTTTACTAGGAATAAGTAATAATAGATAGAAAAACTAAGTAAACACAAAAATTTTAAAAACACTGTCTTCTCAGGACACACAAAAATGGAAAGATAGTTCATGCTCATAGATTGACATGATTAATATTGTTGAAATGACAATATGCCCCAAAGTGATTTGCAGATTCAATGCAATCCCTATCAAAATACCAATGGCATTCTTTACAGAAATAGGAAAAATCTTACAATGTTCATATGAAACTCTAAAAGACCTCAAATAGCCAAAGCAATCCTGAACAAAAAGCAGAAAGCTGGAGGCATCAACTACCTGAATTCAAAATTTACTACAAAGCTATAGTAAAACCAAGCAGCATGGTACTGGCATAAAAACAGATACAGAGACAAATGGAACAGAATACAAAACACAGATATAAAGCCACATGCTTACAACCAACTCAACTTCGACAAAGACACTAAGAACATACGATGCTGCAAAGACAGACTTTTCAATAAACAGTGCTAGGAAAGCTGGTAAGTATATGCAGAAGAATGAAATTAGATTCCTATCTCTCACCACACACAAAAAGCAAATCAAAAATGGGTTAAAGACTTGGATCTGGCTGGGCGCAGTGACTCACGCCTATAATTCCAGCACTTTGGGAGGCTGAGGCGGATGGACCACTTGAAGTCAGGGGTTTGAGACCAGCCTGGTCAACATGATAAAACCCTGTCTCTACTGAAAATACAACAATTATCCAGGTGTGGTGGTGCATGCCTGTAATCCAAACTACTCAGGAAGCTGAGGCAGGAGAATAGCTTGAATCCAAGAGGTGGAGGTTACAGTGAACTGAGATTTTGCCATTGCACTCTATCTTGGTCCTGGGCAACAGAATGAGATTCTGCCTCAGACAAAGAGAAAAAAGATTCAAAACCGTAACCTGAAACTGAAACCACCAGAAGAAAACACTGGGGAAATGCTCCAGGACATTGGTCTGAGCAGAGATTTCTTGAGCAAGACCTCAAAAGCACAGGAGCCAAAGCAAAAGTAAACCACTGGAATTACATCACGTTAAAAAGCTTCTGCATGACAAAGGAAATTATCAGCCAAGTGAAAAGACAATCCACAGAATGGAGAAAATATTTGCAAACCATCCATCTGGCAAAGGAGTAATAACCAGAACACATAAGGAGCTCGAAAAACTTAATAACAAACAATCCAACTTACAAATGGAGAAATAATCTGAATAGGCATTTCTCAAAAGAAGACACACAAATGGCCAGCAGGCATATGAAAATATACTCATTATGAATCATCAGAGAAATATAAATCAAAACCACAATTCAATATCACCTCATCCCAGGTAAAATGGTTTTGATAAAAAAGACAGGCACGAGTGGATGCTACCAAGGAGGTGGAGAAAGGGGAACGCATTTTGTACACTGTTGGTGGGAATGTAAATTATTACAGCCACTATGGAGAACAGTATCTACTTTATCCAGGTGAGTAATTAACTAGAGATAGCTAGATGAAGCTAGTACTTGGAATAAACAAATTCTCCACAATAGTACTTCTTATGTCTTAGTGTGACATTAAACTAGACATTTAGTGGTACCGAGGCAAACAGTTGAATAAACAACTAGTAATTACTAGGAAAACTGCTTGAACATAGAAAGTTTATTAACTATTCTAGTCAATTTTGTGTTCTTACTTTTTTAGGATTGTTGACTAGGTACTATAGATACGGTAACTAGAGTTATCTGGGTAAGAGTTAAATACAGAATTCTCAATAAAACTAGAATAACTGATTGAAGGCAAGAAGCATAACGTTGCATTCTTCTCAATATTCCTCATTTCTTGTTGGAATAATGAGTTAGTTCTGTCAATGGGTAGTAGCAGTACCAAGATTATTATGGAGCAAGAAATAAGAAGAGATGACTAGAATAAATATTTGATACCATAATGGTGAAAAAAACCATTATTTTCAAATAGAAACTCTAATTTCCGTTGTGATTAATGACTTAGAATTAGCAGTGGAGCTATCTCTATGAGATGTGGATTTCATTTTGGGGATGGGGCATATACTCAACGCATGAACTACTGGGTCATATGGTAGATCTATCTTGATATTCCAAGGAACCATCATACCATTTTTCATAATGGGGGTACCAATTGCATGTCTGTCAAAAGTGTGTAAAGGTCCTCTTTTCTGCACACCCTAAGAGGATTTCATTTTCTCCCCACCATTGTCATCATTACTTTTTATCTCTTTTTTTAATAATACTCATTCTAATAGGTGTGAAGTGATAGTTCATTGTGGTTTTCATTAGCATTCTCTGATTATAAATGATGTTGAGCACATTTTCATATACCTGTGGGCCAGGTGTGAGTTTTCTTTCTAGAAATGCCTATTCAAGACTTTTGCCTATTTGTTAACCAGACTACTTATTTACTGATAGGGAGCAGTGTGAGTTCTTTACATATTTTGGATATTAACTCATTATTACATACCTGGTTCACAAATAGTTTCTCCCAAACCATAGCCTGCCTTAGAATTTTGTTGATTGTTGACTGTGCAGAAGCTTTTAGTTTCCAGCCTGCTCACTAGTTGCCCTACATATATCAGCATCCTAGACCCTCACATTGTGTGAATGTGTGCACCAATTCCATAAACTGTATCATATATATAATATTATGCATAAATACTATATGATAGTAAACAGATGTTAATGATATATAATATTACACAAACACACAGACACACACATAAAAATAGATAGTTCGCTTAGTTTCTCCTTCTCTGAGGAACCCAGCGTGATACAAATACACAGCTAAGAGACTATGTTTGCTGATCTTGACACGAAGCCAGTGCTTTAAACCATGAGAAGGAAATATTTAGGGGCACTGGATGGACGCTGGTAGAAGGAAAGGAGATGGAAAAGTTCTTTCATGGCATCCAAGGAGTGAATGGTCCTCGAGGATCAGCAGACGAATTTGTAGGAGAGAGAGATGATTGCCATCTTCACATAGCCTTACACCTGTCCCAGTTAGCATGGAGGAAGTTGAGGTAGGTCATACGGAAACTGGGTAATGATGGAAGGTGGGAGGGAACAGAATGTACCACTGAATGGAGGGGTCCTGGGGAAACATCTGAAGGAAACACTCTCCCATGCCACGTGATCTGCCAAAATTGAACATGGGGAGGTTAAGAGGGGTAACATGTCACTTGGGAACTATCTTTAGGAGTGCTAACCATAATCTCCCTTTCTCCAATCACAGCATCCTGCTTTCCTCATCAAATGCCACCCCACCCCCACACTTCTTCAGCCAAGTCCTGATGGTGCTGTGTGACGTCTAAGCCCGTCCTTCCCGCCCAGGGCTACCATTGGCCGGGTGGCGACATGCTGACCAATCAAAGCTCAGGGACGTGGTCGCGGCATTGTCCTGGGATCCCGGGAGGGGCACGTACACGTAGAGCAGGCAGCCTGACGTTGACGTTGGAGACGTTGAGTTGAGCAAGATGGCGCCAAAGAAGAGAGCCTCGGGAGCGCCGGCCAAGGCCAGGGAGACGCGGAAGAGGAAGTCTTCCCCTGAGGCGAAACCCAGTAACCCAAAGAAAGTGAGTGACCCACCCGAGCTCCTCCTCGTCTTCCCCTTGATTCCTCAAGATTCCTGCCCTGTCCTCACCTGGCACAACCCCCAGCCCGGCCCTCACCGCTTCTCAGGAAACGTCCCTGTTCCCAGCCTCCTCCATCCTCTCCCCTGACGCGGACAGAGCCCCACTGTGATCTCCCTGTTGCCCTTCCAGATGCCCAAGGAGGGCAAGAGAGGAAAAGCAGGTCCTGGAGGGAGAGGCAGGAAGAAACTTGCCGCTGGGAAAAAGATGGCAGCCGTGGGAGCCCCTGAGGCAGGGAGCGGGCCAGCAACACCCGGGCCCAGCCAGCCGCTGAGCCCGGAGCTTCCTCCGTGCCAAGTGCCTGTGAAGGAGAAGCCAGTGGGCGAGCCCGACCCACTGAGCCAGGAGACCCAGCTGGAGGAGCCACTGAGTGACGTGATGACCTTTGAGTTGAGCAAGATGGCGCCAAAGAAGAGAGCCTCGGTATTGCCGGCCAAGGCCGGGGAGACGCGAAAGAGGAAGTCCTCTTCTGAGGCGAGTCCCAGTACCCCGAAGAAGGTGAGTGACCCACCCGAGCTCCTCCTCGTCTTCCCCTTGATTCCTTCCTCAAGATTCCTGCCCTGTCCTCACCTGGCACAACCCCCAGCCCGGCCCTCACCACTTCTCAGGAAACGTCCCTGTTCCCAGCCTCCTCCATCCTCTCCCCTGACCCGGACAGAGCCCCACTGTGATCTCCCTGTTGTCCTTCCAGACGCCCAAGGTGGGCAAGAGAGGAAAAGTAGGTCCTGGAGGGAGAGGCGGGAAGAAACGTGCCGCTGGGAAAAAGATGGCAGCCGTGGGAGCCCCTGAGGCAGGGAGCGGGCCAGCAACACCCGGGCCCAGCCAGCCGCTGAGCCAGGAGCTTCCTCCGTGCCAAGTGCCTGTGAAGGAGAAGCCAGTGGGCGAGCCCGACCCACTGAGCCAGGAGACCCAGCTGGAGGATCCACTGAGCCAGGAGACCCAGCTGGAGGAGCCACTGAGTGACGTGATGACCTTTGAGTTGAGCAAGATGGCACCAAAGAAGAGAGCCTCGGGACCGCCGGCCAAGGCCGGGGAGACGCGAAAGAGGAAGTCCTCTTCTGAGGCGAGTCCCAGTACCCCGAAGAAGGTGAGTGACCCACCCGAGCTCCTCCTCGTCTTCCCCTTGAATCCTTCCTCAAGATTCCTGCCCTGTCCTCACCTGGCACAACCCCCAGCCCGGCCCTCACCGCTTCTCAGGAAACGTCCCTGTTCCCAGCCTCCTCCATCCTCTCCCCTGACCCGGACAGAGCCCCACTGTGATCTCCCTGTTGCCCTTCCAGATGCCCAAGGAGGGCAAGAGAGGAAAAGCAGGTCCTGGAGGGAGAGGCGGGAAGAAACTTGCCGCTGGGAAAAAGATGGCAGCCGTGGGAGCCCCTGAGGCAGGGAGCGGGCCAGCAACACCTGGGCCCAGCCAGCCGCTGAGCCAGGAGCTTCCTCCATGCCAAGTGCCTGTGAAGGAGAAGCCAGTGGGCGAGCCCGACCCACTGAGCCAGGAGACCCAGCTGGAGGAGCCACTGAGTGACGTGATGACCGTCTCCACCTCATCGGAGCCACTGAGTGACGTGATGACCTTTGAGTTGAGCAAGATGGCACCAAAGAAGAGAGCCTCGGGACCGCCGGCCAAGGCCGGGGAGACGCGAAAGAGGAAGTCCTCTTCTGAGGCGAGTCCCAGTACCCTGAAGAAGGTGAGTGACCCACCCGAGCTCCTCCTCGTCTTCCCCTTGAATCCTTCCTCAAGATTCCTGCCCTGTCCTCACCTGGCACAACCCCCAGCCTGGCCCTCACCGCTTCTCAGGAAACGTCCCTGTTCCCAGCCTCCTCCATCCTCTCCCCTGACCCGGACAGAGCCCCACTGTGATCTCCCTGTTGCCCTTCCAGATGCCCAAGGAGGGCAAGAGAGGAAAAGCAGGTCCTGGAGGGAGAGGCGGGAAGAAACTTGCCGCTGGGAAAAAGATGGCAGCCGTGGGAGCCCCTGAGGCAGGGAGCGGGCCAGCAACACCCGGGCCCAGCCAGCCGCTGAACCAGAAGCTTCCTCCATGCCAAGTGCCTGTGAAGGAGAAGCCAGTGGGCGAGCCCGACCCACTGAGCCAGGAGACCCAGCTGGAGGAGCCACTGAGTGACGTGATGACCGTCTCCACCTCATCGGAGCCACTGAGTGACGTGATGACCTTTGAGTTGAGCAAGATGGCACCAAAGAAGAGAGCCTCGGGACCGCCGGCCAAGGCCGGGGAGATGCGAAAGAGGAAGTCCTCTTCTGAGGCGAGTCCCAGTACCCCGAAGAAGGTGAGTGACCCACCCGAGCTCCTCCTCGTCTTCCCCTTGAATCCTTCCTCAAGATTCCTGCCCTGTCCTCACCTGGCACAACCCCCAGCCTGGCCCTCACCGCTTCTCAGGAAACGTCCCTGTTCCCAGCCTCCTCCATCCTCTCCCCTGACCCGGACAGAGCCCCACTGTGATCTCCCTGTTGCCCTTCCAGATGCCCAAGGAGGGCAAGAGAGGAAAAGCAGGTCCTGGAGGGAGAGGCGGGAAGAAACTTGCCGCTGGGAAAAAGATGGCAGCCGTGGGAGCCCCTGAGGCAGGGAGCGGGCCAGCAACACCCGGGCCCAGCCAGCCGCTGAACCAGAAGCTTCCTCCATGCCAAGTGCCTGTGAAGGAGAAGCCAGTGGGCGAACCCGACCCACTGAGCCAGGAGACCCAGCTGGAGGAGCCACTGAGTGACGTGATGACTGTCTCCACCTCATCGGAGCCACTGAGTGACGTGATGACCTTTGAGTTGAGCAAGATGGCACCAAAGAAGAGAGCCTCGGGACCGCCGGCCAAGGCTGGGGAGACGCGAAAGAGGAAGTCCTCTTCTGAGGCGAGTCCCAGTACCCCGAAGAAGGTGAGTGACCAACCCGAGCTCCTCCTCGTCTTCCCCTTGAATCCTTCCTCAAGATTCCTGCCCTGTCCTCACCTGGCACAACCCCCAGCCCGGCCCTCACCGCTTCTCAGGAAACGTCCCTGTTCCCAGCCTCCTCCATCCTCTCCCCTGACCCGGACAGAGCCCCACTGTGATCTCCCTGTTGCCCTTCCAGATGCCCAAGGAGGGCAAGAGAGGAAAAGCAGGTCCTGGAGGGAGAGGCGGGAAGAAACTTGCCGCTGGGAAAAAGATGGCAGCCGTGGGAGTCCCTGAGGCAGGGAGCGGGCCAGCAACACCCGGGCCCAGCCAGCTGCTGAACCAGGAGCTTCCTCCATGCCAAGTGCCTGTGAAGGAGAAGCCAGTGGGCGAGCCCGACCCACTGAGCCAGGAGACCCAGCTGGAGGAGCCACTGAGTGACGTGATGACTGTCTCCACCTCATCGGAGCCACTGAGTGACGTGATGACCTTTGAGTTGAGCAAGATGGCACCAAAGAAGAGAGCCTCGGGACCGCCAGCCAAGGCCGGGGAGACGCGAAAGAGGAAGTCCTCTTCTGAGGCGAGTCCCAGTACCCCGAAGAAGGTGAGTGACCCACCCGAGCTCCTCCTCGTCTTCCCCTTGATTCCTTCCTCAAGATTCCTGCCCTGTCCTCACCTGGCACAACCCCCAGCCCGGCCCTCACCGCTTCTCAGGAAACGTCCCTGTTCCCAGCCTCCTCCATCCTCTCCCCTGACCCGGACAGAGCCCCACTGTGATCTCCCTGTTGCCCTTCCAGATGCCCAAGGAGGGCAAGAGAGGAAAAGCAGGTCCTGGAGGGAGAGGCGGGAAGAAACGTGCCGCTGGGAAAAAGATGGCAGCCGTGGGAGCCCCTGAGTCAGGGAGCGGGCCAGCAACACCCGGGCCCAGCCAGCCGCTGTACCAGGAGCTTCCTCCGTGCCAAGTGCCTGTGAAGGAGAAGCCAGTGGGCGAGCCCGACCCACTGAGCCAGGAGACCCAGCTGGAGGAGCCACTGAGTGACGTGATGACCGTCTCCACCTCGTCGGAGCCACTGAGTGACGTGATGACCTTTGAGTTGAGCAAGATGGGGCCAAAGAAGAGAGCCTCGGTACCGCCGGCCAAGGCCGGGGAGATGCGAAAGAGGAAGTCCTCTTCTGAGGCGAGTCCCAGTACCCTGAAGAAGGTGAGTGACCCACCCGAGCTCCTCCTCGTCTTCCCCTTGATTCCTTCCTCAAGATTCCTGCCCTGTCCTCACCTGGCACAACCCCCAGCCTGGCCCTCACCGCTTCTCAGGAAACGTCCCTGTTCCCAGCCTCCTCCAACCTCTCCCCTGACGCGGACAGAGCCCCACTGTGATCTCCCTGTTGCCCTTCCAGATGCCCAAGGAGGGCAAGAGAGGAAAAGCAGGTCCTGGAGGGAGAGGCGGGAAGAAACTTGCCACTGGGAAAAAGATGGCAGCCGTGGGAGCCCCTGAGGCAGGGAGCGGGCCAGCAACACCCGGGCCCAGCCAGCCGCTGAGCCAGGAGCTTCCTCCGTGCCAAGTGCCTGTGAAGGAGAAGCCAGTGGGCGAGCCCGACCCACTGAGCCAGGAGACCCAGCTGGAGGATCCACTGAGCCAGGAGACCCAGCTGGAGGAGCCACTGAGTGACGTTATCACCATCTCCAGCTCGTCGGATCCACCGAGTGACGTGATCACCATCTCCAGCTCGTCGGATCCACCGAGTGACGTGATCAACACCTCCACCTCATCCGTCAGCAGCGACTAAGTTCCGGCCCAGTTGCCGGGAGACCTCAGAGGTCTCACCAGTCCGGGGGGTGGGGGTGGGTGGTGCCCCCTTGCTGATGTCAATAAATCCAATGTGTTGCAAAATGATCCCAGTGACTGTGTTCTCTGATGATGGGGAGAGAGGGAGAGCTGTTGTGTGGGGAGGAACGGAGGGAGACAGAGGTGGTGTATGGGGGCGGACGGAGGGAGGGAGAGAGAGGTGGTGGATGGGGGGGATGGAGGGTGGGAGGTAGAGGTGGTGTGCAGGGGGGTAGGGAGGGAGGGGAGGAGAGGTGCTGTGTGGGAAGAGAGAAAGGAAAGAAGGAATGAATGGGTAGTATGTGGGAAGGAAGTGATGTGAGGTCCTGGGGGGTTAATGTCAGAAGGACAGGTCACAGACAGACAGGAGGATAAGGATTGTGTCATGGCTGAGCACTGGAGACAAATTTCCCCTTCACAGGATGACTTCACTTCTTGTAAGGTTTCTTTCTTCATGCAATCTTGCTAGCTCATACACCAACTACCAAGAACTGTATTCTCCCTACTTAGGTTTCATTGTTAAAATACCTTTTCATTTATAGAAACGGATGAAACAATCGTTTCCATTGTCTTTCCTTTCAGTGTCACCTAATACAATTAAGAAGAAAAATTCAAAGTAGAGCAAAACCTATCTACTTGGAAAAAGCCTTTTTATGTTTGCAACTGAGCAGACAGAAGGTACATTTTATATTGCCATACATTCGAAATATACAGGTCTTTTCTACATAGAGAATTTACTATATACAGATATGTAAATATATATGTAAATAAATTATACAATTATATTTACTATATACAAACATATATTATTCATATTTATTTTGTAAGATATATGAATATGCAAATATGGATTACATATTTCTATATAAAAATATATGTTAGAAATACACATGTATTTTCTATATATACTAGAACCTACTGTATATTTATACATTAATAGGAGTATTTTTATATTTATATATAGATTACCTACAGAAATATCTATATATAAATATATATTTACATTGATGTATTATATGTAACCATTTATTTTAGAAAGTAAGTTTCTATGATTGTTGAAGCATGATTCACAGGCAAAAAGAGAAAGGAAATTATCACTTTAAGAAGAATAAAGAACAAAATTGTCATGATATAATACCCAGTTGTCAATAATTTCAATGAGAGAGTAATATAGAATATGAGAGGATTTATAGAAAAGACCTGTGCATTTCTAATTTGTATTTATGTAATCTATATTATATAAATGCACAAGTCTTTTCTTTTTTTTTTTTTTTTTTTTTTTTTGAGACGGAGTTTCGCTCTTGTTACCCAGGCTGGAGTGCAATGGCGCAATCTCGGCTCACCGCAACCTCCGCCCCCTGGGTTCAGGCAATTCTCCTGCCTCAGCCTCCTGAGTAGCTGGGATTACAGGCACGCGCCACCGTGCCCAGCTAACTTTTTGTAATTTTTAGTAGAGACGGGATTTCACCATGTTGACCAGGATGGTCTCGATCTGTTGACCTCGTGATCCACCCACCTCGGCCTCCCAAAGTGCTGGGATTACAGGCTTGAGCCACCGCGCCCGGCCAAGTCTTTTCTATATATAGAACTTACTACTGTATTCCCAAGTGTGTGTGTGTGTGTGTATATATATATGTAATCTATATTTTTATATATTCATATAAATACACAGGTTTTTATATAAACACAGATGTCTTTATACAGAAAAGACCCGTGTATTTCTAATGTGTATATATAATTTATATTTATCCCTATGCATTTGCATATATAATATCTATATATGTTTATATTTATATATGTATTTTTATATATTTATATTTATATAGGTAGATTTCATATATAGATGTTATATATAAATATATTCTATATAAATATATACAAATATAAAATATATAAATATAAATATGTATTTTATTTAAAGTAAATGTTCTGTATGTGATTATTTATTTTAGAAGGTAAGGTGTATTCTTGAAGCGTGGTTCTCAGGCAAAAGGAGAAGGAAATTACCATTTTATGGAGAATAGTACAAAATTATCATGATTTAATTTTCAGTTGTTAATAATTACACGAACAGAATAACTTATGCCATTTAATCTTATAATGAATAGCACGTTAAACTTTAATGTGATTATGAAAATATGAATTTTCATATAATAAAGGTTTGAGGTGTAAAGCACTGACTTTACAGGCAGTTTTCATTTGTTACACAGATTGTTCCTACACCTTTAAAGATGCCAAAATTAATGGTGGCTTGAAGAGCTGGCAGCATCTTTTGAGAAACAATAAATGAATTCTGTTGCATCCCTGTCCTTGGTGCTGTCAGGACTTCACTTCATTAGCTTAGGAAGGGATTTCAGAGCTTTGCATGTTGAACTTGTAGCTGCCTCCTACGGAACCCTATGAAACCTAGGACGCTGTACCACAGAAACAGGGCCTTGCCCCATGTCCTGAACACCATCATTTTGTGGTGTATTTCTTTTGTATTTCATATATGGACATACCATATAAGGACGAGCATGCTTGGCATAACTCAAAGCCTGTGTATTTGCAAGGCTGTATTGACCCTGAACAATAACTATTTGTATGTTATGGACGGGAAACAAGTCGGAATGAAAAGCTCCTGCTGTCTTTTAGGAAAGCCTATTGGCTGTGGGTGTATGTCTCTTTCCAAAGGTAGGTTGGTGAACTTTCTGCTACAGTTTTTCCATAACGACAGCATAAAAACTGCAATAAACAGAGTCTTGTCAGTGGTCTCTTTGGGGTTTGGTGTATATTAGGGAGCACGTTAGCAATGTGTTTCAAAATTACATTCAAGAATCAATTTCATGCACCTTATTTTAATGCCATATTTTCATTCAAGCTCTGCAATCAAAACAGTCTGTGATGATTCTTTTGGCATTTAAAACATTATCTATGGGTCTTACACCGTGTTTTTTTCGTCACCTGATGGCAGTTGGAGCTTCAACTGCTATTTGCTGGAAACCCATCCTGACTAGCTCTTTCCCTGGGGCTTCATGTTTTATTGTGATGATTGGCTGACTTATGTTTCAGGCATTTTCAGCTTTGGAAAGTTACTATGATTTTGAAATGACAGATATAAAATGTCACTGAATTTATTTTCACAGGCTGTTTTAATTCATTATTGATAATAAGTTGTTTACTCGAAAATCAACAATTTTATAATCTTTTAATTTTTTGGAACATTCATAAATACATCTTCATTTAAGTCTTCCTTTATGCTACATGTTATATCCACAGTTAAGTCAGCTAATAAGAGTTAAATATCTTCCCTCCTTCTCCGATTACCCGCATGCTCAGGCTTAAAATAAACGGGGGAATGAATAAAGATCCAAAATAATAAACCCGCAAAGCTGCAGTTGACTTTTATAATAAAACAGTAGATATCAAAGCTTTCTGACATTTATAGGCAAATTCTCCTGTGTCCCTAAACGGAGGATCCCCTTGACGATAGTCTCGAACAACAGTTAATCTTGAGGTTCTCAGCAGTCAAGGACAGTCGGTGGGAAAATTTTGGAACACCTTGTATATATTAAAGAGCTAAGCATGAGATGATGTATACATACATATGTCTCTTTCTCATTAGACCGCAGGAAATAGGACACACAGCAGGAAGGCCCATATTGATTCCCCTTACCATGCAGCTTTCTCTGCTGCTGACTCCTGAGAACTTTTTCACCTTTGCTCATTCCCAGCCTAGATTCCCATGTGTATGGATTGATTTTAGCCCCAAGCGTATTCTAGGTGGGACACAGAATTGCTCTCAAAAAACACTTGGGAATTGATAAATGACAGGAGAAGCTCAATTCGATGGCTGGGTGCCGGAGGCAAGGCCTTTCCCTGTTTTGAACACTGATACTAAGCTCTAGAATAGCTGCAGCTGCAGCCTATAGGACGTGGGCATGTGTCAGGCAGGCTGTGAAATGCTCCCCATGCATGACCTCATTGCTCCCTCACATCACCCCTATGGATTAATCGGGGCTCTCGAGAGACACCACCAACAGGGTATCAGCAAAAATGGACGAGGGGAGATTTATTAGGGGCATTGGAGGGTGAAAAGTCTCAGGACAGGCTTTCTGCAAGCTGGAGGCCCTGGGATGCCAGGAGTGTGACTCAGTTCACATCCAAAAGCCTCAGAAGCAGGGAAGTGGATGGTGTAACTCTCAGTATAAAAAGAGCCTGCAGTTGTGGTGTCCACGGGCAGGAAAAGAAGAGTCCCAGCTCCAGGAGGGAAAGGGAGGAAAGCGCCTTTCCTCTGCCCTGTTTCTTCTATCTGGGCCTCAGAGAATTGGATGGGGCCTGTCTCTACTAAAGGCATCTTCCTCACTCTGTCCACCAGCTCACACCAATCTTCCTGGGAATACCTGCAGGCTCATTCAGAAACAATGCTTTACCAATTCCTGATGTATTCCTTAAGGCAGCCACGTGGACACCTGAAATTAACCATTGCACCCTGTAAAATGGGTACTATCCCCACTGGACACATGAAATAGACAGCTTGAATACCTTTCTTATAGTGCTTATAGGTTATAGAGTCAGGATTAAAACTCAAGTCTGCAAAGATCAAATGCAAACGCCACCCTCTTAAGGACTGCTGCTCAATGCTGAGGAAGCAGCACTGTATTGCACATTGTAGGAAGATTAAAGAGGCATTGAAGACACATCCCCTGCATTAGGGAGCACATCCTAGCTTTTATTCATGAGAGAAATCATATTCCTGTGACTCTACTATAGACCCCAGAACCAAGTGTGAATTGGCATGCTTTAGGTGTGCATAAGCTCTGCAGAAATCCTAAGAAGAGCAAGACAAACATAGGCTCAATTCATATAGGGAAGTGTTTATTGAAACAGCTTTTAGCCAATTCCTGAAAGAAAATATTTTCACTCGTGGAAAAATTTTCTGCTGGAGAATAAATAGTTGAAGGACTCTGGGGGCAAGGAGCCCTGGACATGGATCCACAGAAGTGGGAAAAAGCCATACAGAATAGAAACAGAATTGAGGACCTGTCAGGGAGAGGAGTAAGGAAAAGCACTAGACTAGTA